GACTATACACAACAGACCTAACTGGTCTATGCACAACAGACCTCACTGTTCTATACATAACAGACCTAACTGGTCTATACATAACAGGTCTCACTGGTCTATACACAACAGGCCTCACTGGTTTATAAACAACAGACCTCACTGGTCTATAAACAACATACCTAACTGGTCTATATATAACAGACCTAACTGGTCTATACACAACAGACCTAACTGCTCTATACACAACAGACCTCACTGCTCTATACACAACAGGCCTCACTGGTCTATACACAACAGGCCTCACTGGACTATACACAACAGGCCTCACTGGTCTATACACAACAGACCTAACTGGTCTATATACAACAGACCTAACTGGTCTATAAACAACAAACCTCACTGGTCTATACACAACAGACCTAACTGGTCTATACACAACAGGCCTCACTGGTCTATACACAACAGGCCTAACTTGTCTATACAAAACAGGCCTCACTGGTCTATACACAACAGGCCTAACTGGTCTATACATAACAGGCCTAACGGGTCTATACACAACAGACCTAACTGGTCTATGCACAACAGACCTCACTGGTCTATACACTACAGACCTAATTGGTCTATGCACAACAGACCTCACTGGTCTATACATAACAGACCTATACACAACAGACCTAACTTGTCTATACACAACAGGCCTAACTTGTTTATACACAACAGGCCTAACTTGTCTATACACAACAGTCCTAACTTGTCTATACACAACAGGCCTAACTTGTTTATACACAACAGGCCTAACTTGTCTATAGGCCTAACGGGTCTATACACAACAGCCCTAACTGGTCTATACACAACAGGTATCACTGGTCTATACACAACAGGCCTCAAGACTTAACTGGTCTATAAACAACAGACCTCATTGGTCTATACACAACAGATCTAACTGGTCTATACACAACAGCCCTAACTTGTCTATACACAACAGACCTAACTGGTCAATACATAACAGTCCTCACTGGTCTATACACAACAGGCCTCACTTGTCTATACACAACAGGCCTAACTGGTCTATGCACAACAGACCTCACTCTGGTCTATACACTACAGACCTAATTGGGCTATGCACAACAGACCTCACTGGTCTATACATAACATACCTAACTACCTAACTGGTCTATGCACAACAGACCTAACTGGTCCATACACAACAGACCTAACTTGTCTATACATAACAGACCTAACTGGTCTATACATCAGGCCTCACTGGTCTATACACAGCAGGCCTAACTGGTCTATACATAACAGCCCTATCTGGTCTATACATAACAGCCCTAACTGGTCTATACACTACAGACCTAACTGGTCTATGCACAACAGTCCTCACTGGTCTATACACTACAGACCTAATTGGTATATGCACAACAGACCTCACTGGTCTATACACAACAGACCTAACTGTTCAATACATAACAGGCCTCACGGGTCTATACACAACAGGCCTAACTTGTCTATACAAAACAGGCCTCACTGGTCTATACACAACAGACTTAACTGGTCTATAAACAACAGACCTCATTGGTCTATACACAACAGATCTAACTGGTCTATACACAACAGCCCTAACTGGTCTATACACAACAGGTATCACTGGTCTATACACAACAGGCCTCAAGACTTAACTGGTCTATAAACAACAGACCTCATTGGACTATACACAACAGACCTAACTGGTCTATAAGCAACCGGCCTCACTGGTCTATACACAACAGACTTAACTGGTCTATAAACAACAGACCTCATTGGTCTATACACAACAGATCTAACTGGTCTATGCACAACAGACCTCCCTGGTCTATACACTACAGACCTAATTGGTCTATACACAACAGACCTAACTGGGCTATAAACAACAGGCCTCACTGGTCTATACACAACAGACTTAACTGGTCTATAAACAACAGACCTCATTGGTCTATACACAACAGACCTAACTGGTCTATACACAACAGGTCTCACTGGTCTATACACAACAGGCCTCACTGGTCTATACACAACAGGCCTCACTGGTCTATACATAACAGGCCTAACTTGTCTATACACAACTGGCCTCACTGGTCTATACATAACATACCTAACTGGTATATACACTACAGACCTAACTGGTCTATACACAACAGGCCTAACTTGTCTATACACAACAGGCCTAACTTGTCTATACAAAACAGGCCTCACTGGTCTATACACAACAGGCCTCACTGGTCTATACACAACAGGCCTAACTGGTCTATACACAACAGGCCTCACTGGTCTATACATAACAGACCTAACTGGTCTATACACTACAGACCTAACTGGTCTATACACAACAGACCTAACTTGTCTATACACAACAGACCTTACTTGTCTATACACAACAGGCCTAACTTGTCTATACACAACAGGCCTCACTGGTCTATAAACAACAGACCTAACTGGTCTATAAACAACAGGCCTCACTGGTCTATACACAACATACCTAACTGGTCTATACACACCAGGCCTCCCTGGTCTATACACAACAGGCCTCACTGGTCTATACACAACAGACTTAACTGGTCTATAAACAACAGACCTCATTGGTCTATACACAACAGACCTAACTGGTCTATACAAAACAGGCCTCACTGGTCTATACACAACAGACTTAACTGGTCTATAAACAACAGACCTCATTGGTCTATACACAACAGACCTAACTGGTCTATACACAACAAACCTAACTGGTCTATAGACAACAGACCTAACTGGTCTATAAACAACAGGCCTCACTGGTCTATACACAACAGACTTAACTGGTCTATAAACAACAGACCTCATTGGTCTATACACAACAGACCTAACTGGTCTATAAACAACAGACCTCACTGGTCTATACACAACAGGCCTAACTTGTCTATACACAACAGGCCTCACGGGTCTATACACAACAGGCCTAACTTGGCTATACACAACAAGACTCACTGGTCTATACACAACAGCCCTAACTGGTCTATACACAACAGTCCTAACTTGTCTATACCCACCAGGCCTACCTTGTCTATACACAACAGGCCTAACTTGTCTACACACAACAGGCCTAACTTGTCTATACACAACCGGCCTAACTTGTCTATACACAACAGGCCTCACTGGTCTATACACAACATACCTCACTGGTCTATACACAACAGACCTCACAGGTCTATACACAACAGACCTAACTGGTCTATACATAACAGACCTCACTGATCTATACACAACAGGCCTCACTGGTCTATAAACAACAGCCCTCACTGGTCTATACACAACAGACCTCACTGGTCTTTTCACAACAGACCTCACTGGTCTATACACAACAGGCCTCACTGGTCTATAAACAACAGCCCTCACTGGTCTATACACAACAAACCTAACTGGTCTATAGACAACAGACCTAACTGGTCTATAAACAACAGGCCTCACTGGTCTATACACAACATACCTCACTGGTCTATACACAACAGACCTCACAGGTCTATACACAACAGACCTAACTGGTCTATACACAACAAACCTAACTGGTCTATAAACAACAGCCCTAACTGGTCTATACACAAAAGACCTCACTGGTCTATACACAACAGACCTCACAGGTCTATACACAACAGACCTAACTGGTCTATACATAACAGACCTCACTGATCTATACACAACAGGCCTCACTGGTCTATAAACAACAGACCTCACTGGTCTATACACAACAAACCTAACTGGTCTATAAACAACAGACCTAACTGGTCTATAAACAACAGACCTAACTGGTCTATACACAACAGACCTCACTGGTCTATACACAACAGACCTCACTGGTCTATACACAACAGACCTCACTGGTCTATACACAACAGACCTAACTGGTCTATACACAACAGACCTAACTGGTCTATACACAACAGACCTCACTGGTCTATACACAACAGACCTCACTGGTCTATACACAACAGACCTCACTGGTCTATACACAACAGGCCTCACTGGTCTATACACAACAGGCCTCACTGGTCTATACACAACAGACCTAACTGAACTTTTAAAAGTAAATGTGGATCATAACAATTCATCTAAACAAACACCATAGCCGTCTTCCATAGCTACAGAACAATTCATCTAAAATACATAACAGGCCTCACTGGTCTATACACAACAGAACTAACTGAACTTTTAAAAGTAAATGTGGATCATAACAATTCATCTAAACAAACACCATAGCCGTCTTCCCTAGCTACAGAACAATTCAACTAAACAAACACCATAGCCTTCTTCCATAGCTACAGAACAATTCATCTAAACAAACACCATAGCCTTCTTCTCTAGCTACAGAACAATTCATCTAAACAAACACCATAGCCTTCTTCCCTAGCTACAGAACAATTCAACTAAACAAACACCATAGCCTTCTTCCCTAGCTACAGAACAATTCAACTAAACAAACACCATAGCCGTCTTCCCTCGCTACAGAACAATTCATCTAAACGAACACCATAGCCGTCTTCTCTAGCTACAGAAAAATTCATCTAAACAAACACCATAGCTTTCTTCTCTAGCTACAGAACAATTCAAATACTAAGCCTAAAGCTTTTCGTTTATTCTTTCAATTTGGCCTGGTGTGTACCTCTAGCTGAGAGGAGTGACTAAACTCTTTATCGAACAATTCATCTAAACAAACACCACAGCCGTCTTCTCTAGCTACAGAAAAATTCATCTAAACAAACACCATAGCCTTCTTCCCTAGCTACAGAACAATTCAACTAAACAAACACCATAGCCTTCTTCCATAGATACAGAACAATTCATCTAAACAAACACCACAGCCGTCTTCTCTAGCTACAGAAAAATTCATCTAAACAAACACCATAACCGTCTTCCCTAGCTACAGAACAATCCATCTAAACAAACACCATAGCCGCCTTCCCTATAGCTACAGAACAATTCCTCTAAACAAACACCATAGCCGTCTTCCCTATAGCTACAGAACAATTCCTCTAAACAAACACCATAGCCGTCTTCACTATCTACAGAACAATTCAACTAAACAAACACCATAGCCGTCTTCCCTCGCTACAGAACAATTCATCTAAACAAACACCACAGCCGTCTTCTCTAGCTACAGAAAAATTCATCTAAACAAACACCATAACCGTCTTCCCTAGCTACAGAACAATTCAACTAAACAAACACCATAGCCGTCTTCTCTAGCTACAGACCAATTCATCTAAACAAACACCATAGCTGTCTTCTCTAGCTACAGATCAATTCATCTAAACAAACACCATAACCGTCTTCCCTAGCTACAGAACAATACATCTAAACAAACACCATAGCTGTCTTCTCTAGCTACAGATCAATTCATCTAAACAAACACCATAGCCGTCTTCACTATCTACAGAACAATTCAACTAAACAAACACCATAGCCTTCTTCTCTAGCTACAGCACAATTCATCTAAACAAACACCACAGCCGTCTTCTCTAGCTACAGAAAAATTCATCTAAACAAACACCATAGCCGTCTTCTCTAGCTACAGAACAATTCAAATACTAAGCCTAAAGCTTTTCGTTTATTCTTTCAATTTGGACGTTCTGGATAAAATGGCACCATGTCAATCTTGCATAGGTGCGTGATCTTGACACTCAGAGATGACTCTCTAGCCGATTGGGATAGATGACTCAGAGTCTGAGGTTGTCTTTGAATTCTCCTGTTTATGAACCTTAAGGTGTATCTTAAGGCTAGAACTCTGAGTGAACCCCCTATCACAGATGTCACATTGATATGGCTTCTCCCCTGTATGTATCCTGATGTGTGTTCGCAGGCTAGATCCTACACTAAATCCTCTACCACAGATGTCACATGTATATGGTTTCTCACCGGTGTGCGTCCTGAGGTGTACCTGAAGGCTAGCGTACTGATTAACTCCCTTACCACACACGTAACATTTGTATTGTCTTGTCTCCCCTGTATGTGTCCTGATATGAGACTGTAGGTTGCCTTTATGATTAAAAACTTTACCACAGAAGTCACACACGCATGGGTTCTCTCCCGTGTGAGACTTGATGTGTACTTGTAGGTACTTTGTTCGACTGAATCCTTCACCACAGATATCACACTTGCAAGGCTTCTCCCCTGAATGAGTCGTCATGTGTATTTGGAGGTTACTTGCCTGACTAAACCCTTTACCACACACATCACACTTGTATGGCTTCTCCCCTGTATGTATGATCAGATGTCTATTGAGACGATATGAACACATGAATCCTTTTCCGCAAACGTTACATTTGTATGGTTTCTCGTCCGAATGCGACATAATGTGCATCCGCAGGTTTGAAGAGGAACTGTAGCACTTGCCACACTCTTCGCACCTGTGAGCTTTTTCCCTTTTACTTTTATCTGTATGTGTCCTGAGATGGCCCAGTAGGATGGAGTTTTGATTAAATGCCTTACCACAGATATCACACTTGCATGGCTTTTCGCCCGTATGTATCCTGGCGTGTCTCACCAGATGAGATGAACACCCGAACTTTTTACCACAGACATCACACTTGGTTGATTTCTGTTTGATGCTTGTTTCTTGTTTTGATCCCTTTGCACACACTTCACACCTGTTGGGTTTTTCACCTGTTTCAGATAGTAGGCTACGCGTCACACTAAACCAGGCTCCACAGACAACACACTTGCATGGCGTCATCCCCGTGTGTCTCTTCAGGTGTTTTTGAAGACTTCCTATATTACCAAACAAGTCGCCACAAACATCACATTTGAATGGCCGTTCTCCTGTATGTTTTCTCAAGTGATTCTGTAAGTTTGTCGTGTCGTGAAACCCCTGTCCACACACACCACATTTATATGGTAGTTCCCCGGTGTGTGTCCTCGTGTGTCGTTGTAAGTGATGTTTCAAAATAAACTCTTTTGCACATATTTCACACTTGTACGGTTTCACTCTTGTATGTGTCTTGAGGTGTGTATATAGGCTACCTTTCTGATTGAACTCCTTACTACACACATCACACTGTCCTGTGTGTGTTCATTTAGATGTGTCTGAAGGTCAGATGCATCAGCTAAAGTCTTACCGCAAACATTACAATGGAAAGGCTGTTCCGCTGTATGTACTTTCAGGTGTGTCTGTAGATTATGTGCCTCTTCAAAGTCCTCACAACCGACGTTGCACTTGTACTGTGTTTCTGTAGTATTCGTTCCTGTGGGAACATTTAGTTCCGAGGAATCACTCATCTCCCCATCACCAACATCACACATGTACATGTTTGGCTCCTCATCTACATGTGTCTGTATGTGGACTTGAGGTCGAGTCAATCCCACATCACACGTGTACATGTTTGGTTCCTGGCCTGTATGTGTCCTGGTATGTACCTCATGTATGGACAACCCTACAACACAAGGTTTTGAGAGATTTGGTTCCATATAACTGAAATTAAATTATCAGGAAAATAGACAATTTGTTACCAATAATATTTGTATGTAAAAATCAGTTAGTTTTCACATTTGACTGCAGCGTAGAAGTTTAACTCCCTTGAAATACTCATTATCAACAATTCCGGTATTAGGGATTTGTACGATTTAAATTTAAATAATGTAGATATCTTTAAAATGTATAAATGATTGTGTTGTTGAGAAATTAACGCATTCAACCCTACAATGTACATATTTAAACTGGACTTTCCCAGACATTAATTTGGAAAAGTTCAATGGCTACTTTTGGGGTGAAATATGGACAGATGCTTGTATCAGGTTTTTAGTCTGAGTGAGGGGCTTGTGTACAAGATGACTGGAGGCAGACCCTGAGACCAATCCTGGTAGCGTATCTCTATTCTGTATTTGAACTTCCATGCACAGCGATTGATCGATCTTAACTGTTTTTGGAGGCACGGTGGTCTAGTGGTTAACGACGCCAGGCTCGTGACTGAAGAGTTGCGGGTTAGAGTCAGTCACAGCACTGTGTTGTATTCTTGAGCAAGATACATGTACTTTACTCCGCTTATTCCAGTCTACTCAGCTGTAAATGAATATGTGGTTGGGCAGTGCTAGAATTGTTGAATGCTAGCTGTGAGTGCCAAAATTGCAGCACCGGCTGTATGTATAATCCCCAGGGAGTTGAGAAAGATATTGGCAGGTTGCAAAGGCCCTATAACCATGGATAATAATTTGTGAACCACTTTGAGAAACCTACATTGTACAAACTAAGTTGTGATAAAGCGGTAATTTAATTATTATTATTTTAGAGTTGTGACTGAGAAGTCCCTTCGGGTATGGCCAAATCACAGGGTCTATTCTAATATCATGATTTAATTGATCTCTTTTTGTTCAGTAATTGTTTTCAATGACTATGGGATGGGGATACATTTCAAAGTTATGATTATGACCCAGGGTCTCCAGGGTTGGGGCCTGACCCAGAGTCTCTGGGGTTGAGACCTGACCCAGGGTCTCCGGGGTTGGTGCCAGACCCAGAGTCTCTGGGGTTGGGGCCTGACCCAGGGTCTCCGGGGTTGGGGCCTGACCCAGGGTCTCCAGGGTTGAGACCTGACCCAGGGTTGGGGCCTGCATGACCCAGAGTAAACAAGGGCATTATTCTTTCAACTAGTCTAAATCCAATAATATGGTGTACATTACTAACTTAAGTGTGTAGTCACGGAATCATCTCGTGCCGATGCGACAGTTGTGCACGACTTTTCAGTGTACTATTTAGGCCAGACAAAAAATGTATTTCCTGTAACATTTTGAAAAAAAATGTGTGCAGGTAGGTAACAAATTTTATTTGAACGAATACTTTCTATGGGAGAGTGATCTTGACTTTAACAGGGCTTCTTTGAAAATTGCCTTAAAATGTTGCACAAAAACGTTAGGGTAGGTAGAGTTACCGGAAACAACAAATATTTGTTGTTTGGCCTTTAACATTTTCTCTTCGGCTTCATTGGTTTATATAGCTAACAAGTTATATGATATCGTAGCAGCGGATGTGGTACCGAATGAGTCAAAGATAAATCCTCCCTAACCGAGTCGGTATGAAGCAACTAGTACTTTATAGTAGGGCGACACAAGGTTTTCAAATGGTTACCTGCATCGTACCGTCTACTAAATGACAAATATGATCTTTGATGTGTGTTGACATCGGAGTTACTCAAGCGCTTAAATAGCCTAGCGGGGACGTACTAAAATCAGGATGTTATGGACCTATAGGGAAACAACTTTCCTGAGTACACAACGATATTCCATGGCCACCGTTTATACAACGGAAGAAAAAGGATATTAAAGCTAACGTTATTCCTCTATATCCCTTACTGGGTGCTTTTATTAATTCATACTAAATTTTGACAAAATCCTGTCCTTCCTACAGAAGAAGAAGGATTTTGAAGAATTTGCTCTATTTCCCCTATTGGGCCCGGCCCCTCTGCCCCAAGGGGGCCACACTCACCGTTTATACAAACTAGGTCCCCTTGGCCTACGGTTGCTCCAGACCAAATTTACCGGGTAGTAAAAAATCTACTTCGTCGTTCAGGACTATATATATAGCGGTTTAAAGGAAAAGTTGACTGACGGACGACGGACCGTAGATGCTGCGGTATGGCATATGCTCACCATGGTCCTTCGGACCAGGTGAGCTAAAAAAATGTGTATCAAAGAAATACGAAAGTCAATACTAAGCGTTTATGTATACTGCTAAGCCCTCAAAATTATAAATATTTGCTCAAGACCTAAAATATCTGGATTGGCCGGAGTTATCCCGGGGCCAAACTTGCCCCGGCTCCTTATAATCCCTAGCCCCATGTTGAACCATCCCGCACTGGATCAGCCCTGGTTCGTTGTTTTTCAAAACACCTTAGAAATACTTACAAATTAAATATTGGCGATATTAAATCACTCATCCAGATGTCATCTGCATAGGGATAATTAACCGAAATCGATCTGCCTGTGGCATCCATATTGGTATATTTTGGACCCTACAATTATCTATTGTTTCCTTCATCTTTCTTTACTTAGCTGTTGCGATGATACGATGATACAAAACGCTAAACAAGTGAAGTTCATAGAAATGTTTTTACCTGTAATTACTCCATTCCATTTTAGCTCACCTGGTCCTGAACGGCCACGTAAATTTTGACTAAATTTGGTCTGGAGCATCCTTAGGCCAAGGGGACTCAATTTTGTATAAACAGTGGGTGTGGTTCTCCTGGGGGCAGAGGGGCGGGCCAAATAATGGAAATAGAGGTAAAACCTTTAAAATCCTTCTTCTACCGTAGGGATTAAGGGATTTTCTCCTAATTTGGTCTGGAGCATCCTTGGGCCAAGGGGACTCAATTTTGTATAAACAGTGGGTGTGGTTCTCCTGGGGGCAGAGGGGCGGGGCCAAATAATGGAAATAGAGGTAAAACCTTTAAAATCCTTCTTCTACCGTAGGGATTAAGGGATTTTCTCCTAATTTGGTCTGGAGCATCCTTGGGCCAAGGGGACTCAATTTTGTATAAACAGTGGGTGTGGTTCTCCTGGGGGCAGAGGGGCGGGGCCAAATAATGGAAATAGAGGTAAAACCTTTAAAATCCTTCTTCTACCGTAGGGATTAAGGGATTTTCTCCTAATTTGGTCTGGAGCATCCTTGGGCCAAGGTGACTCAGTTTTGTAATTGTCTAAGTCTGGGTCAGAGGAAACTCCAGCAGGTTATAGCAGACGAGGAAAGATTTACTCAATGGATCCAGTATCCGACTCGCTCCAATGCATCCGGGCCCTCCCTACTCACAAATTTTGATTTGAATTATGACCGCGTTACTTTTCGACTCTTCATACAAAAGCCTTCCTATTTGTGTAGAGTATGTGAAGTAGGGTTGTTTGCGGTAGGACAAACCAGACGAAGTCTTCAAATTCAGTTCTGTACATTTATTCATGCCATCGTTAAAGTGACGGGATATGGGAAAGAGAGTCCCTAAAATACAAATGATAAAAACCTATTACAATTAATTACTATTCGATCACGCCTCGAATGGGCACGTCGATTTACCCAAAATACCCCAAAACACCCCAAACTACCCAAAGACACCCAAAAACACCCCCAAACTACCCCAAAACACCAAAAACACACCCAAAACTACCCAAAAACACCCAAAAACACACCCAAAACTACCCAAAAACACCTTCAAATCTATTATGATTGAGTATTTTCTTTAAAAAAAACAACGAAGTTATGCTACCAGTTAAGGGGAAGTAAATCGTATATATTGGATTACCGTAAGAAATTGTCCCGACGCAATGTATTTCATTGATTGGCATTTATGAACACGCATGTCTAGATGCACTTGACTGGTTTCGGGATTTAGGGTTTCAATATTTGTCTAATGTAATTTGTATGTATAATATAATAATAAACGAAAGGCGTTTTAACGTAAATATTTTATTTCAGAAACAAGGTAAATCGTAGAACACAGTACGTTTTAAAAAGATCTAGTATATATATAGTTTATAAATAAAAACAATTCACAGATAAACATATTTCACAATTACTGATTGTTCTAAATAAAACGAATACATAATTAAAAATATATAACTAAAACATTTGTTACGCAAGATGTTGGATTAAAATTTCTAAGAATGTTACAAAAGATAAAAAAGTCTACTTCATATTAAATACAAAATAAATAAATAATTATGAATACTATCTAGATGACACATAAAAAGATATGTACAATATAAATTATGCAATTTCATGTCTAGATTACCATGAAGTAAGGCTGCAATACGAGGAAACTGAGACAAAAAATATGCATAAATGTGACCAAATCAATATTAATATTCTAAGATATACATAAATACTATAAAGAACGTACCATTCAAGATGAAAAAGATCAGTACAAAATATAAATAGTCGTACTTTGAAATGCAATTTCATGTCTAGATAACCATGAAGTATGGCTCCGACACGCAGAAACTGAGACAAAAAATATGCATTTTGACTATATATGTTATCAAAGAAGGGGTTGTGCACTACAATTTAATTTAAAATACGAAATACTGATGGGT